AATTTCAGCGAAAGACACGCACACACACACGTTGACACACTTGCTGTTGGATCCACTATCTTATTTCAACTTGACTGCGTGTTTTCGTTCAAAGTACGCTAATTTCACGGATGGCCCGCCCCTACATCGATTTTACGCCTCCGCGGGCTGGATCTAATTCAGCTACTTTCTACTATTTACAATCGGTGTTCTAAATCTGCCACCCGCACTCAATCCAAATTTGATTTATCAACACGCCACCTCCTATCCCATCTTCATTCCTAGCGTTTTCAGTGTTTCAGGTCCAAACTGCAAATTTTCATGCAGGCCCCGCCCGGAGCCGAGTCGTGCCACCTACCACTAGTGGCCCATCCTCCCATTTATTGTATTCCCATCAAAATTGAACGTAAAAGTGCACGGGAACAGAAGTTATAAATTTCCGCTCAAACCCAGCGCACGTTGGGCGCTGTCCACCCCTGTCACCCACAATGAGTGTTCCCATCCTGCCCCCAGCATTCGTAACAAATTTGAATGCTATAGGCTCACATGGATAGTTATACTTCCAGTCACACACGCAGACACACACTAAGCGGATTATATAAGTAGGATAACGGTTTCGATGCGGTACCTCTGTCTTTCACAAAACTATTATCTGGAGAAGCATCCGGAGCGGACGAGTCTAGTTCGGACTTGGCATGGGGAAAACCAACAGCGCATATGTAAGCTCAGCTCATCTCCGCCCACAGATGACGGAACTTGTCCTGTAGTTGAACGATGCCGACAACGACGACAAAAATTCCTGATCTGGTGCCACAAAAAAACCAGAGCCCCTATGCCGAGAAAAATGAGCTCCGCTCACCGCGGATGAGCCTCCCTTAGATTTGTTGACCCGCTAGAGACTTGAGGGTACAGATCGGATTGTAAAGTTCATCTCTGCTTGATACTTCCTTTGCTGTGACGCACGCGTCAGTGCGCGCAATCCGACAGGTGACACATGGAAAAACGGTTCCGTATATTTGTTCGGAAATTCGTTTAGCTGCCTTGGAGGGTGCTTAGAAATCAGCATTTGAAAACACGACAGAATACATCTCAGCCTGAATGAACACTGTGACCCAGTATCCCTACCTTGTTACTCTCTTAACTTTGACCAGTCAATGATTCTGATGGACTAAAGGTCTTTCTTCGTCCGGAAGCACATACTTTTTGAACCTTCATCGATCTGTGGATTCTTTCTAAAAGCGTGCACCAACTCGACGCGCCTCAGTCGATACTGTGACGCACGCGCCAATTTCCCAAAGCGCCTCAAGGTAGGTGTCAATGCCAATGGAGAGGTATCCGGAAATAAATTCTGTTGCTCTGTTGTTGGTAAAGTGAACCAATAAATATCGTTTTTAGCACTTTTCGCAATGAGTTGACTGCTGAATTAAACTGAATGTTTACTTTGGCTTTGGGCGATATGAGTACCTCTTCGCCACAATAAAGCGCACCCTGCACTAATCTCTACAATAGGGAAAACCTGATGACTCAAGTGTAATAACTTTGATATTTATCTGCCTGCTGGGACTAATGGGAGCCTACTTAAATCGCATCAGAACCCACTTTCAAAACAGGAGCTTTGCGTTAGCACTTTGGATCAGCTGTAATCCTTTGCTTTCTTCACCGCCAGAAGCCAGTTAGCCCCATAGTACTTCAAGACTCGTTGCATGAAAAACCCACCCTACAACGCAAACTACCTGAGATATATTAGGTTGGAAGGAAAGTCCTGCAACAAAAAATTTGAAGCGTCAGCAATTGGTATCAACAGTGTGAACACGGTAACACGGATGATGAACTTGTAGGACCTTCCTCAGGTAATCAACACATGAGTAAATAATGGCACGCGTGTGGGCTTTAGCAGCATTACGGTCAATGAATGCACAACACCCGATTCGTGCCATCACCTTCTATTAAGCACGCCAAGGGAAAAACGCGGGTGTAGCGGCTCAAATTATCAGCAACCTATTCAATGCTGGCACTGCTCACCGATCAACGATCAACAATCGGTTGGATCGCTTCACTGGAAGAGATACTAGCCTTTGAAGTTACGCAAGCATCGTCCCTTAATTCAAAGGAGGTTGAAGGGACCCATCCACTATGAGTTGCTAAACGCAGGTTAGATGGACACAGCTATCGGTTACCCCTATGAACCCCGAAATTTGGCGAAAAGGGTTAGAGAAGGACGATCAAAACCGTAAATCAGGTCCCTTTAGAGGGGCAGCGCAAGTCGAAATTTCGCTATAAACACGCGTCAAAAGTTCTACGATTCCAATTGGTTCCAGCTTGTTCATCAGTCGTACTCCCCAAGTGCTGCCCCTTTTACCTACCATGCGCTCCTCCTTCTTGAGCATCCCGTTGTGGAAAAATAATTCGTAACTTAATGTAATCTGAAAACGGCAGTCAATTACTTCTTTGAGTCACAGCTACCTCACTCCAGGATAAAAGGCATCAGTGATTGATTGATGACCCAAAGGATAATAGAAGGTTGTTGACCTTTTTGGTAAATATATTTCCGAAAATTGATTGGCCTGGAAAATTTTAGAAATGACTTGAAAAAGACCTCCATTGTGTTGCAGGACTTTCCTTCCAACCTAATAGTTTCGCTCGAAACAAGAAATGACCAATACGGAATGGAGGTGAAAATGTAGTTGGGGGGAGCCACCCATTCAAAGGCTAATATATCAAGAAAAGAACTCAATGAAACGTGTTATGCCGTGTTATATCACGGACATGCCAGTTTAAATAAGGGCTTCTGTAGGGAAGGAGCACCGCGTTGGGCAAGTCTTCTTTCATTTTTCTTTGCAGGAGGTAATCATCTCAGCCACCCAGGTGCTCCTAACCTGCCTAGGCCTATTTGNCCCCCCCCCCCCCAACTACATTTTCACCGGAATGGATAGTTCTGACGCCGAATTTCTTCTTACTCGTATGTTTGTTCGGAAATTCGTTTAGCTGGTTTGGAGGGGAGAATTGCAAGAATCTTGGAAGAGAACGGCTATACGACGGAACAACCAAGAACATGGCGTCCTTTCTTCGCTGCGGGAGGAACGCCGCTAGTTTTACCGTATGTCAATGAAAGAGCAGCAAAGAAGGTGAACGATGTCGTCAAGTCGTCAGGTCTTCCAGTCCAATTGATATTTCGACCACCCGCGAACTTGAAAAGCTTGCTGACATCATCACAAATTTATGAAGAAAAATGTGGCCGGAGGAACTGTTCGCACTGCGTCGATCAAAAAATTTGTCAGCTAAGCGGAACAGTATATTTGGTCACATGCGAAGGATGCAGTCAGAAGTACGTCGGTGAATCCAAGCGTCCGTTGCACAAACGGATGGATGAACATACACGAGTGCTGAGAAATCCATCATCCTACCCAGGAAGTGCGTTCTCGCGTCATCGTGTACTGTGCCACCGTCAAGAAGCACCCCCTCCCCCCACTGAAAGTTGCCATATTACACCGCATGAAGGATGCCCCAATGGAGAGAAAACTGCTTGAAGCGCTCGCTATCAAGCGTTTATCACCGGGAACGAACAATAGGGATGAGCTAATGGAGGCATAAAATTAATATCATAGCGGTTTCGATAAAGAGATCTTGTCTATAGTCACACACGTCGCATTTCTAGTAACTTTCATTTACTTGGAGACTGCTGTCAGGGTGAGCCGTTCGCTTCGATGTGTTCTTAATACTTACTAGTTGTGCTCATGTTGTATTACAGAATTCCACGAACTTCTATTCCAACTTCTCAGCCTGCTTAGTAATTTTGTGTTTATGAGACGCATGTTGTATACTTGTGTGTTAGTTTTAAGGACTGACGAAGCTGTTAATACAGCGAAAGCTCACCAATAAAGCTTCATGATTGAGTCCTCAGTGCTATTCTCTTAAGGAGATCTTACAGGAATGGATAGTGTATAAGCTTGTAAACGCATGCAAAGCATGCACACTCCAATGATAGGGCTCATCTAGAACAGACTTTTCGAATTCCAGACTGTAGACCACGTGAAATGACTAGCACTTTATTACAGTCACAGATTTTGACTCTGTGGAATAAAAATGTATATATAAGCAAGTTACACTATACATGTCAAAGGATATTTAACGGTTTGAAACACTCAAATAATGTGTAGTAGGACCATCATATTTAGCACTCTATTTATACATGAACATTTATACCTTGAACATAATCATGTTGTATGAAGACGCCCAAAACATATTATTGTCTGATAGGCCACATTTTTACAAATCGGGATTTTTCGCAGAGCCTCTATAATTTCACCTCATGCCGGGTGCGCATTAAAGTTTACTCCGCCATGACGGAAGCGAGATTCACGTTTATTTGTTTGAATGGCAGAATTTTGAGATTAATGATGGATTGTTAAGGCAAAAAAATAGTCACTTTCCCAAACGCCTTTCATAATAACGGATCTAACGCCCAAAAAAAATCAATGTACAATGTAGGACCCCCCCCCCCCAAGTACACGGGTCCGATCAAAATTGAAGGACATCGTCTCTCTGCGTTAATCAGTCTTTTCTCAGAGTATGACCGCAAATGAGTTCCATTTCGACATTTGCTTCCATTTTTTTAGTGCGTATGTGTGGCCAATACAATAACTTGCAGTGGCCAGCCGATGTACTAGTTAAAGATTTTGGTCTTACATATAAGTCCTGAACTAATTAACCGCGAAGGAGGGTTGATTGGCCTAGGCGAGAGTTACAACCATGCCAATGGTCCAGATTCAATACCCGGTCCATGAGGTAACGCGAAACCCAGCACGATACCGCCTCCTATTCAGCTTGTTTATTATCTAAACTATTATTAATGAGTTTGTGGTGGCAAAATTTCCAGCTAGCCCACCACTTGAGGTTCTTATGTAGTTCCGTAATACAATATCTGTTCGAACACCAAGTATAATTACCACGAGGACGAGAAAAGAAGTGAATCAAGCAAGCGACTTCAAAGGAAATTCGGAAGCAAACACATCAGATCAACTAGGAAATGGTGCACCCGCTAAAGTTATTTGGATCCTTCTCTGTTTGGTAAATCTTTTCCTCAACTACAGATTTGAGCTCATTTTTTCCTTTCTTTATCTTTGAAAAATCAGGCATCGTGGCTTTTCCAATATCAAATGATGAGTAGACAGCATGAGTCCAACACTGAAACACTGTCGATTGCGATGTACATGTTTTCAGGATCATTCAAAATCTAACGAATGATTTAAATGACAATAATTTCACCGAATCCGGCTCACATGAGAACAATATCACGAAACGTCGGTTCCGCAAGTGAAAAAGCCAAAAAATGACAAGGTGACAGAACTATCACTTACATCGGCTGGAGCTGGGTACAGGAATGGTTCAGTTTTCGCAACGCCATAATTTGGATTCGAATCCAGTTGTGGACAGTCGTCTGGAACCTTAACGAGCGGTCATTCATGCTCAGGAAATCTAACCAGATGCCTTTCTCTTTTCCTTTTTATTCTCCCTACAAAAGAGCGTTCTATACAGATTCGTTACTTTCATTACTAATTTCCATAAGATGTCATAGTGACGACAAGAACAATTTACGATTAATAAGCGAAGGACACGGGAACGTCGCAGTGGCCATTAAAAGTAAATGTTTACATCTTTGACTGCCTTCAAACGTTGATCTAAAATGCAAAACGATTCTGAGAGCATTGATGTTGTAAGACTTTTTTAAAACCTGCTGCCAAGATGTTAAATAAGTTTTTATCAACTTACGTTTCGGCGTAATCGCCTTCTTCAGAGCCTGGAAACCTGTGTTTTATCATTATCCATCCTTCATTCAACAAATAAACTTCAGAAAACCGGTTCCCTAGACTAAATGTCTCTAAACTGGCATGATAACCCTAAACATGTTTAACCCACCTTTAGGAACAGCCGGTCGTTTGGTCGGCCGCCGTTAAACTGACCCATAGGCACTTGGGGTAGCTTTGGATGATATGCCCTATCCCTCTCGCCGTGATACTGGGGGCAAACAAAACCCACAGAGGTCAGAGAAAGGCGCGAGTTCATTAGCTACGGCTAGGCACTCCTCTTTCCTATTCATTTTTGGGGACCTGGCGCTAATGAAAAATGCCTCAAGTGTCTTTCGCGCCGAAGTGAGAGGTTCCCGCAATAGGATCCTAACTGTAATTCCAAACACCGCACCTTTATGGGACTCTACTCGGTGAGCACCCAAGGGGGTCTCCACCCTTGCTCGATTTAAGCCCTCCAGATGTTCCTTAACCCTGACGCACAGGGGTCGTCCAGTCTCTCCAATATATTCATCCTCACATAGATTGCATGTGAGCAGGTAAACGACGCCTGATGTCATGCAGTCACCCTCCTGTCCATTAGGGCAGACCACGCAATTGGGTGTCAGGCAAATTCGATCGTAGCAGCGGTTTCGAACCAGC